AAAGAAGATTTTCAACACTGATAAAAACAGATCTATTTGTGCATCATATCCAGAGTGTGGTTGGGGGGTTTGTTGCCTGTGGAATGTGCAATTCCAATGCTTGTGGGTGAGGATTTCAGTGTCCAGGGAAAAGCCATGTGGTTTATTATTGGGCTGAAGCACTTTGTCAGCCTGGAGAGGGAATGGCCCTGAAGGTCAAGGGCATCCAAATCCAGAGGCAAATCTCTCTTGGGCCTGTGCCAGGGATCTGCTCACCTGCTACACTAATTCATGGAGTCATGGAATGGTTTGGGATGGAAGGAACATTAAATGCCATCTCATCCCACCCCTAGGTGGCAGGGACACCTCCCACCAGCCCAGGGTGCTCCAAGCCCCATCCAACCTGGAACACTCCCAGGGATGGAGCAGCCACAGCTGCTCTGGGAACTCCAATTCCAGTGCCTCACCACTCTCCCAGCCAGGAATTCCTTCTTTCTAATTCCTATGTTGCCCTTTCCCTGCTTGGTTCACATCCTTATGGGACTGTTCCCATCAGCTCCAAGACCCAACTCACCCTCTGGAGAAGAAGAAGAAGTTCATCAGCCGCAGGATGATGGGAGACAGCAAACCCCCATCCTTGAGGATCTTGGGAAGAAGGAAAACAAGGAGACAGCACCACTCAGAATCCTACAGATGGGTAATTCCTGCCTCCATGGAGGGCTTTTCCCACATCTCCACAGCTCAGCCCCAGCCCTCAGTGGTGGGACATGAGCACTCCAAGGGGTGTTTATTTGGGATGTTAGGATTCAGGATGACTAGAGGGGGAGCAGCTCACCTTCTGGATGAACCTGGGGTAGTGTGTTTCGGGGAAAATCCCTGGAAAAACATCAAAGAATAGAGGTGTAAATCCAAGTGTTTTGCTCTGAGTCTCCTAGTCTCTCCCTGTCTTCCTGGTGGCACAGGCAGCCCAAGGATTGATGTTCCTGGTTAATTATAGCACTTTAATTGCAATTCACTTAGGATTTGGGAGATGGAGATGGGAAAGCCACCCCATCCCATGGATCCTTATCCCTCCCATCCCACCACTCCAGGCAAACCTTACCTCCATTGGATAAACAGAGGCTGTTGATCAAGATGCTTCCAGTTTTATTGTGCTCATACCTGGGGACAGCAGAGAACAAAGTGAAACACAACCAAACCTCTCCAGGCTCCAAGAATTGACCAACCAGGAGGTCAAATTAACAGTGGGTGGCTATCTCTGTGTCCCTGCTGGAACAGATAGATGGGAGCCTTGGATTTGCCCACCATGAATGGAAATGGAAAGAGGGAAAGTTAGATGAGATGTTAGGAAGACGTTTTCCCTGTGAGGGTGCTGAGACACTGGCCCAGGTTGCCCAGGGAGGCTGTGGCTGCCCCAACCCTGGCAGTGTTTCATTCCAGGTTGGCTAAAGCCTTGAGCAACCTGCTCTGGTGGGAGGTGTCCCTGCCTAGGGCCCATCTAGCTGGGACTAGATGATCTATAAGCTCCATTTCACCCTCTTAACACACTATGCCAATATGCTAAGGGGATTTTGGAAACCATCTTGGTGGGAGCTACAAGGAGCATTCAGAGCATCAGGGGGTGCAGTGACCTGTGCAGCAGCTCCTGGGCGACTGTGTCTCCATAATCATGGGACAGGAGGTTGATCCTCTGGTGGCCAAGGCCAAGGTGACGCACCAACCCCTCGACGACGTTGGCCTGCTCGAAGATGGAGTAGCGATGAGGCCTCTGCGAAGCCAAGCAGGAGACAGGTCCCAGTGAGAGCCTGAGCCCCCCAAATTCCAGAGGAAACACCCAGATGGAGGAATCTGGGGTGGAGAGCAGCAGTTTGCCACCCTGGATGTGTTATCCCTTTTCAAAAGGTAAATGGAAAGGAAAAGTGGGCTGCAAACACCAGATTTTCCAGCAGAATGAGCTCTGGGCCCAAAGCAACTGGGAAAATCCTTAGAGGATACTTACAGGCTTGTCACTGAATCCAAATCCTATGAAATCCAGAGCAATCACCCTGTGGAAGCGCTGGGTCAGCCCTTCCCAGATCTGGGAAGAGGAGAAAGGCATTAAAAACACATCTGGCAGGAGCAGAGGAAACACCTGTGGCCATGGATGGGCCATGCTCCCATCCACCTCCCAGGCAGCACCTTCCAGCTCCAAGGAAACAGCAGGAAGTAGAGATTTCCCAGTGAACAGCACTGTTCACTGGGAAATCCCACAAAAAAAAAAAGCCAAGGCATAGTTGGGGATCTTTTCCAGACCCTCAGAGTGGGAAGGGGTGAGGTGGAAAGAGCTTGGATGCAGTGCTAGGTGCTGGAAGAGAAACAAGGTTGATATCCTGGTGGTACTCCCAGAAGGAATCTCTGCAGCATTGCCCACTCGAGGCTGACCCATCCCATGGGATTTGCTGCTGGCATCCCACCCACAGTGCCCTCTCTCCCCTCACCTTGTACCAGTCATAGCTGGAGGTTGGGAATCCATGCAGGAGGACCACGATGTCGGAGCTGCCGACGGCTCCGGTCGAGTCTGGGGAGGGAAATGGGAATGGGAGGACACCTCAGGGGCAGATTTTCCCTCCCAGTTTCATGGACCTCACCCAGTGGGACAAGGATCACCTCTCTCCTTGCTCCGCAAATCCGAGGATGGGTTTGACTCCCACCACTTCCCAGTGCCAACGTGGTTTGGGAAACCTGGAGATGAGCCATGGTGGCCACTGACACCAACTCTGGAATCCAATGGATTGATTTAGCCCAAATTAATTGGAGATGCCTCTAAGTGGTTACAATGAGCACCAACTGCTCCACCCAGAGATCTTTTCCTTGTTAGGACCCATTGGAGTCTCCTGGGATCCTTCCCATGAACACCAAGAGACAAGAACCAACCTTTGTGGCTTCTCCCAGCTAAAATGCTTTGATCCAGCCACACTGGATCCATGACCTTGGGGACATCCCTGGGGCCACCAAGGGGAGCAGAGCCACCAGCCACATTCCCTAGCAGGACAGACAAGGTGACACCAGAGCTCAGTGTAGTCCCCTCACCTCTGTAGAAGATGTTCTGGTCCTTGTAGGTGAAGAAGCTTCCAGTGGATCTCCAGGAGAGGAGAGCAGGGGAGAGCTTTGGGGGTGGGATGTGCAGGTAGACAGCAAGGAGGGGCACACTCAGCAGCCCCACCTGCACCCACCATTCCTTCATCCTGTGGGACACAGCGAGGCTCTGGAACTCCCACATCTCCCTGACCCCCAACACGTCCCCATGACCCACGTCTGTGTCCCCATAACCCCCATGTCTCCACAACCTGCACATCCCTGGGCTCTGCAGCAAAGGTTTGGGCTCTGAGAGGGGTTGGGGGTCCCATAAGGGGTCTGAGGGATGGATGTGGCCCCCATAAGGGGTCTGAGGATGATTGTGGTCCTATTGAGGGTCTGAGGGAGAACATGAGCTCCATTGGGAGTGTAAGGGGAGACATGGATTAAGGGGGAATGTGACCCCTATTAGGGATCTGAGAAGCACTGGGAACCCTAAGGGGGGACATGAGCCTACTGGGAGTCTGCAGAGAGGTGAGCGACCCCACTGGGGGTCCAAAGGGTGATATGACCCCAATGTGGATCCAAGGGGTGACATGGTCCCACTGGGGGGGCAAGGAGAGGTGAGTGACCCCTCTGTGGGCCTGAGGGGTGACATGACCCCACTGTGGATCTGAGGGATAATATGACCCCACTGTGGATCCGAGGGGTGATATGACCCCACTGTGGATCCGAGGGGTGATATGACCCCACTGTGGATCCGAGGGGTGATATGACCCCACTGTGGATCCAAGGGGTGGTATGACCCCACTGTGGATCCAAGGGATAATATAATATGACCGTGGGTCCGAGGGATAATATGACCCCTCTGTGGGTCCGAGCGGTCATGCCCCCACCCTAGGTCAGTGGCTCCAAGCCAAG